TTTGAACATACCGAAAGTGATAGCTCTGTTGACAATACAGACGAACTAATAGACTTATTAGAGGGGTAAAACAAAATATTTACATTAATAAAAACCAACTTAATGAGCTCAAAAGAGCATAAAAACCAACTTAATGAGCTCAAAAGAGCATAAAAATATATATCTTGGTAATCTTCGAAATTACTAATATATGTGTGTTGCAGAAATATCCACAAGTTTAACGGACGGAAGGAGACGAGGACGTCACGTTAGGGTCAGGATGGCCGAGTGTTACATATTTATTATTAGTGTTACATATTTATTATTATTATTATTACTATTCATTATTTAGCGTTAGGATTTATTATTTGTCAGTTACTAATTATTACGTTTTACTATTTTCTAAACATTTCCTGACTCACTGGTTTTTGTTAATTCGTTACCCAACTTTTGTAAATCTCTTTGTCTGTACCTTGGCAGCAATTAGTCATCTAATCCGATATATTTTTTGTCAATGATGATTCGTACAACTTTTTACACAACTTATGTGTCGAGAGGCCAGTTCGGCATTAGATCTTGTACTCGTCGGGTGAACGAACAATAAACTTTATATACAAGATATTGTTTTATTTGTTCAATCCGGAACACTATGATGGCCTTTGATGAATGCAGCAATTAAGCAAATGGCACGTTCGTGCAAAGTATGTTGTTCACTAGCTTCAAATTCGGCAAAAGCACCGATAATCTCATGGCCCATTCCAAATGAATGTAGGTCCCGATTACATATAGATCATTTTGGACCACTGTTAAACAAAACATTTTTTGTAATTGAAAACGCAACGTCAAAATAGATTGAATGTTTTATTGTGAGTAGCGTATCTACTGAACTATCAATTAAATGTCTTCGTTCTGTTTTCGCTCGATTTGGGTTACCTAAACAAATTTGCTCAGACAATTCTACTTCTTTCACATCCAATGAATTTCAAAATTTTCTAAAACAAAATGGCATAAAACATTTAACAGGAGCACCTTACCATCCACCTACTAATGGACAGGCCGAAAGCGGTGTTGGTATAATGAAAAAAGTGATTATGAAGTGTGTTTTGGAGAATAAATCCGTTGATGTCGATTTAGTTATTAATCGATATTTTTTTCAATATTGTAATACACCGCATACAACGACAAAAGTAGCACCCTCAAAATTATTATTAGGTCATCGACTGAGATCTAGATTTGATTTATTGTTTCCAGATAAAGAAGAGAGACTGACCAAAATTAAAAGTGATACAGGTAAACAATTCGAGTGTAATGATGCCGTGTGGGTTCGCGATTTTAGGAAAAATAATGTAAAATGAACCGCAGGGTATATTAGTGAAATTTTGGGTAGACGAACTTATTTTGTGATATTATTATTAGATTGTGAAGCAAAGGTAAAACGTCATATAAACCAAATTAAAAAACGTTTTCTCGAGTCACAAATGACAAGACAAGACTTTACTCCTCGATCTGATTTAATAACTGACGTTGTTGATAATGAAGTGAAATTAAACGAACCTTTGATGAAGGATGTATCTGACTTACCAACGAAAGATGAATTCAAAAGAGAGCTTAGACGTCGAAGTCGGATACAACCTCCAGCTAGATATCCAACAACGAGGTAAAAAAAATGTATATACTATTGTAAATAATTTTATTTAAGGGGATCAGATTATTCTCTTACGCCTATCCCAACGCAAGTACACAACAGGTCTGATTTTAGGCGGAAACGACGAATAAACACACATTTCTTTGTTTTTGTTTAAGAAATCGATTTATCTCAGTTTTAAGGCAGTAATCAACCTGAATCAAAGTATTTCAACCAAATACTGGCTTGAATAGAAGTTTTCTTTCAAAATAAAACAATTTGACCTATTTTCAATTCAATTTTTCTCGATTTAAATTAATGTATTTTTAAAAAATTAATTGCTTCAATCCCAATTTTAGGCTAAAATAAAGCAATTTGTGATATTTTCAAGCGGTTTGGCTTTACTTTCAGCCAGAAACTAACCTGAATCAAAGTATTTCAACACAATAATGTTCTGAATAAAAGTTTTCTTACAAAATAAAGCATTTTTTGCTATTTTCAAACTAATTTTGCCTGATTGTTATCCAGAATTAACTCTAGATTAATGTATTTTATAAAAATAATTTCTTCAATCCCAATTTTAGGGTGAAAAGAAACAATTTGTGCTATTTCCAATCGATTTGGCTCAATTTTAAACCAGAAATCAACCTGAATCAAAGTAATTCAACAAAATAGTAATTTGAATAAGAGTTTTCTTCCAAAATAAAGCAATTTAACTATTTTCAAACTAATTTTACTCGATTTTAATACAGAATTAATTCGAAATTAATGTATTTTATAAAAATAATTGCTTCAATCGCAATTTTAGGATAAAATAAAGCAATTTGTGATATTTTCAAGCGGTTTGACTTTATTTTAACTCAGAAATTAACCTAAATCAAAGTATTTCAACACAATAATGGTCTGAATAAGAGCTTTCTTCCAAAATAAAAGAATTTTTGATATTTTCAAACTAATTTTACCTGATGGTAATACAGAATTAACTCTAAATTAATGTATTTTATAAAAATAATTTCTCCAGTCCCAATTTTAGGGTGAAAAGAAGCAATTTGTGCTAATTTCAATCGAACAAACTGATAGTTTAAATAAGAATTTTCTTCAAAAATAAAGCAATTTGAGCTATTTTTAATTTAATTTTGCTCGATTTTATAACAGAATTATTTCTAAATTAATGTATTTTATAAAAATAATTGCTTCAATCCTAATTTTAGGCTAAAATAAAGCAATTCGTGATGTTTTCAAGAGGTTTGGCTTTATTTTAGGACCGGAAATCAACCTGTCTCAAAGTATTAAAACACAATAATGGCTTAAACAAGAGTTTTCTGTCAAAATAAAGCAATTTTCAAATCAATTTTGCCCAATTTTAATACAGAATTAATTAATTAATTGATTATAATTCTAAAATAATTCTAAATAATTCTAAATTAATTTTGTTTTATAAAAATAATTTTTTCAATACCAATTTTAGGCTGAAATGGAGCAATTTGTGCTATTTCCAATCGATCAATCAATCAATCTGAATCAAAGTACGAGTATTTCAACAAACTGATAGTTTAAATAAAAGTTTTCTTCAAAAATAATGCAATTTTAGTTCTTTTTAATTTAATTTCGCTCAATTTTAGTACAGATATAATTCAAAATTGATGTACTTTACAAAAATATTTTTTTAATATTCATTTTATACAGAATAAAGAAGAAAACTTTTATTCAAGCAAGTATTTGGTTGAAACACTTTAATTCATGTTGATTTCCGGCTTAAAATTTGGCCAAATCGATTCAAAGTATCACAAGTTGCTTTAATTAAAACTGGAGCGATTATTTTTATAAAATACAATAATTTAAAGTATATTCTGTACTAAAATTGAGCAAAATTGGTTTGAAAGTAGCTAAAGTTGCTTTATTTTGGAAGAAACCTCTGATTCAAGCCATTATTTTGTTGAAATACTTTGATTCAGGTTGATTTCCTGCTTAAAATTAAGCCAAATCGATTGGAAATAGCACACATTGCTTCATTTCACCCTTAAATTGGGATTGAAGAAATTATTTTTATGAAATACATTAATTTAGAATAAAGTCTGTACTAAAATCGAAAAACATTGGTTTGAAACTAGCTAAAATTGCTTTACTTTGGAAAAAAAAACTCTTATTCAAGCCAGTATTTGGTTGAAATACTTTGATTCAGGTTGATTCCCGTTTTCAAATTGAGCCAAAACGTTTGAAAATATCAAAAATTATTTTATTTTAGGCTAAAATTAAGATTGAAGAAATTATTTTTATAAAATACATTAATTTTGAATTAATTCTCTATGAAAATCGACCATATAAATATACATCCGTATATTCGTTTCTCTTTTTCCGCGCACCAAAGAAAATGGCGCCAAGTCTATTATTTCGAAATGATATCGAATTGAACACTTTTACATGAAGCTCGGATTCCGTATTTAGAACTATATAATATTATATATTATATGTCGAAAATCAAGAGAAGAATTAACTTTTCTTTTTACTAAATCAGAAAGTTTTAAGTACAGATTTGCTCGTGTCAGGTGAAGCAAAAATTATTTTCTTCTTGTAAACTCAATCCGGAGACATACAGTATAAATGTCAATAAATTATTATAAATAATAAAATAGCTAAAATTTATAAGTTTATAAATGTATAAAAATATATAATTATCGAGACAAAATTTCGTTTTTCTTTGAACAGGATTTTTTTGATATTCAGCGGTATAAATTTTCTCACATATTGCACAATTGCAGAGTAACATCAGGTTTTTGGTTTATTAAAATATATGATATTTCATCTAATTCTAGATGTTCTTCAAAGAAGTGGTGAAAATTTTTCATTGATAATAAAATTCTTTACTTTGATTTTTTTGCTCGATTTTTTGTAATAAATCAAATTCCTGACTCCAATTATTTGGTTTATTTGGTCAAGAACAACTAGTAATTTTCAAGTTAATTTCCTATTTGTACACGGATATTTTCTGAAAAACTAGTGTACCTAAATTTAATTAGTACAAGAAGAAAAAATGATTAAAATGTATCTCATTTTTAATAGAACCAATTTAAATAAAAAATAAATAAATAATATAACCTACACCTTAAAAAAATAAACATAAATTATGACAATAGGTCAAAAATCATTTATATTTGATAAAATAATAAAATGTTTCAATTCGTTCAATCCAAAAATAAATCCGTAATGTAAACACGTCATGTTACATTTGTTGTTAACACATTCATTTATTGCATTTAGATATGTGGAAAAGAAGATGTTGATGAACAAGAAAATGGAACCGCAATAAAATTTCATTAAAAATATCAACCATGAAATTGTTTTTAAAAGCGTCTTATACTAGAGCTATAAAACTGTGCAATTATTGTTTTTTTAATTATTTTGTAGTTAGTTTTTGTGGCATTTGTTTGTAAGAGAGTTGAAATGAAAGAAGAAAAAGTTTTATTAGTTTTGTGTATAATATTGGTAAGATTTATATAAATTAATGAGTGAATTAATTTCTAAAATGTTCACTTTTTTAATCACAGCTAAACGTCGAGTATTATGGTGAGTACCTATTGACCATCACTGCATCGTTGTTGGTACTTATTGCTTCAACAACTCCATGTGGGAGTGTAGTGTTCCACGTGAAATATTCTAAAGAAATTACGTGTTTCAAATAACAGAAATTTAAAATATTTTAATGAAATAAAAAATTCAAAAAATGTAACAATCCAAATTACCAATTAACCCATTACCAACAAATTATTATACATCAAACTATTAGTTTCTATTTTAATTTACAAACGAACCTATTAAGAGTTTTTTGCTCTTTACTTATTAAACTTAAATAGTGTGTTACAATATGATTTTATGTAAAGTACAGGGTGATTTACATACAATTTAGACTCTTACGAAAAGTTACGTGGTACGCTGATACGGATAAAACTTGTAGCGCTCAAAATTCGGGAAATTGAAGATAAGTATTCCCATAAGTTTTTCTTACCATAAAAACTTGACTTACATGCGGGGTCATATATTAAGATAATATCTGTTTTTTATTGCTGGTGTACATTTTTTGCAAAGAAATTAAATCCAAATATAAATGTTAGAAACAGACATAAATTTAAGAAAGCCATTGTAGATGCGACTTTTAATTATTATTTTTTAAATTCTCAAGGTACCTATCTATGTTGTGTGTTGCAACTTGAAAACTTTCAGAGTGGACATTTTATGTGGATAACGCTGTATAGCAATAACTTTTGTGTTTTTTTTTAAGTAAACCTTATCTTTTTACCATTGTTAACATTTTTAGTTCTTAACTCCTAATAACAAAAAATATACAAACTATCAGTGCTTTCGCATAGAGAAATGTATGTATGTAGATCGACATTAAATAAAATAAATTTAGGATATTAGTGACTGAATGGGTTTTGAAGTCACTATCCATTAGTTTTAGTAATTTGGTAAACTGAAAATATATTTCATATCTTTAAACAATTTCCAAACAAATTAAAAACAATTATCAACAGAAATTTACAAACATCTAAATTTAGTATGAAACAGTAATTAATAATGTGTTTATTGCTTTTAGGAATATATCCTCGTAAAATTTTTTAATTAAAACCACAAATAATACTCCCTGTCTTTAAATGAAATCAACTTTTTAATCCTACGCATTTAATAATTGTAAAACCATATTAAACACTGACACTCTAAGATATTGTTCTTGTAAAACAGAAGAAAATCGTAGAAAATACAGGTTGGATTAGGAAAAAACGCCCGAAGTCCGAAGTGATAACTGCATTATTTTTAATGATATGACAATATGTACTTAGAACAAAGTTGCACAATCTTTAAAGGTAATGAAATTATGACTTGGGGCATTTTTTATAATCCTTAAAAGGAACTTGTTTGTTAGTGTCAAAACAGCAGGTGTAAAACAAAAAAATTATTAAACTGACCATTATTATATCGAGTAAAGAAATATTTATTTGTGTCATGAATTTACAACGTGCTTCAGAAATAAGTGCATATCTTTTTTTTCGAAATCAATGTTTTTTGAGGCATTTTACCCTTTGTAAAATAACGAGCCGTTTCGTTTACTTTTAAAAGCAGTGACTATGAATTTGTTTGGTAGTTTTTTGCGGTGATGTTTTAGCGAGTTTCGACCGGGGAAGAGAGGAATAAGAGCATTCTCAGCTGACAAATATTGCAGTTTTATTAATGTCCGAGTTTGATGAATGTTGTTTACGTTCGGTTTAATTATTCTTACCCAGAATTACCCAATTTTGTGAAAGAATTTCGGAAATTACATAAACATTCTGCTAGGGTATGAAAACTTTTCCAAATATATTATTCGAGGTATTGTTAAGTGTTGTGCAGCGTCTTTGAGATCACGGATTAGATCAAAAATAAATAAACAGTATAGTAATAGTTATGGAAAGTTTACGATACACAAAGTAGTATGTTTCTTATTATTTCTTCGTGTTGCATGAAGTGTCCAAGTCAAGCAGTATTCCTTTAACGATAAATAGGTTACTAATATTTGAGTAATTTTGTTAAAATAATTCCTCGAGCACTCTGTTAGTGCCCATAAATTTTACAGGAAAACAATTTATAATTTTAACTTAATAACTGTTGTGTTTTCAAAAAAATGGTACATAAAAAATGTTGCATTTAACGAGTTCTAAGTACGTGGTTAAAATTAATGCACTTATTCCTGAGACACGTTGTAGAGTTTATTCGTTGAAACGAACCGAGCAGAGTAACTATATGAGTGAAAAAAAAACAACTTTAATACTAGGGAGTAAATTAGGTTTTTTTTAAATCACAATTTTTTAAATTGTAGTCTTAAATTAATTGTTAACATTTTCCATTTTCGTAAAATTTAGGAACGATTGCAAAATAAAATATTTTTCTTTTTTCAGGTGTTTTCTCATTTGTCTCAACAAAAATAAAATTACCAAAATACACCACATCGTCATCCTTCCAAATACGATCTTTTAATGGTGGATTTTCGCCATTGTTTTCGTCCAACGGCCTTCCTTCGTTGTTCCCTTCTAGTGAATTTTCTTCGTTCCCGTCGATAGACCATTTAGGCTTCGATATAGAAAAAAACTTTGAGAAAACCTTTAAACCTATGAAACTGACTCAAGCTAAAACATCGATGGGAAACGGAATCGGAGGGGTCACAATCATCGACGCTGGCGGTAAAAACAACTTCAAATACCCATTTCCAATCTTTTCATTTCTTATTTTAGGAAAACAGTTGATCAAAAAAGATGGTACACTTTTCGAATGCTTTGGTGAAATCTCCACTCGACAACCATTTTGTTTGGGCGAACTTAGAAGATTCCAAATTAAGTCTCGGCATGATTTCTGCTATTCTGAACATTATTCGAAAATAAACAACTTTTTGTGTATTGGACAGCCCGACCATACTGGCATAACTTTCAACTCTGTTAACGGGAAATATTCTTGTAGAGGTTCGGATGAAAGACCGGCGATTTTGATGGCGATTAACGAGTATCAGAATTTGTGTGGTAAATTGCCGTGGGGTAACACTTATTATTATTTCCCGGATCAGACTCACCCTTTCCACGTGCATTTGCCAGATCCGAGTTTAAAATGTAGGGAGAATAGACCCGACGTCTGCGTTTTCAAATTGGAACATAAGTAAAAGCATTTTTAATATGAGCGTTAGTAATTGATTCGACTTGAAATAAATAGATTCACATTTAAAATGTTTTTTATTTAGGCATATATGATTTAAAAAACCACCCAATTTTTAATAAAATTAAGAATGGCATTCCCACAATATCAATAAACAACGTTAATATACTTGGCTTCAGATAATCAAAATTTTTATTGTTGATGTATCATTTTATAAAGCTATATAACAAGTATTGGGTAGGTACTTTAATTTTATACCATTTCTGAAAGCAATATATTTTTTGCGTAGTTGCTAAATGTAATTGTTGTGAAGAATTTTATTTATTAATTAATCACTTAAAAATGTAACCGACAAACGCAAAAATCTCTAACTGGAGGTGTACGAGAGAAAATTATAACTATTCATAAAACAAAGTCGAATCGTAATCGAGTAATTTAAATTGTAAACACATAGGCCTTATAAAAAAAATCAGCCAAGTCAACTAAAACTCTGATGGAAACAATTTCCTTGGAAAATAATTCGAATCCTGATACATTTCATTAGATAAGAAATCAAAAAATAATAAAAACTATCGAAGATTTGTGAATTATAGATTATTATAGTTTGTGATAAAGGGTGAGTCTTCTGCGATTCTAAAAAACACCAAGTTGAAAAAGTTTTACAAATTATTAAAAAGCTAGGATAATCTTTCTAAAAGCTTGATCCATAAAAACGTCTTTTTAATTTAAAAAAGTTAACGAAATGTTTTTTAAAGAGACCTTTTACAGTATCGTTGGAATACGTAGTAGGTAAAGTCGTAGAAGATGCTGAAAGAATATATGTTGAAAAATACTTTTTATTGCTCCATACTAGTAGACTACATAAAAGTCTCCTCCCATAATATTAATAAAATGAGAATTATTAACTGTATCGAAAAACAATACGCAATATTTAAAAAACCCATCGTTTTGCGCACCATTAAAAAATAACATAAAGATGGTGTGGGCCGTTTGTGAAATAATTAAATACAAGCAGATCGAATTAATGCAAAGTTTTAATTAACTTAAAGCAATGCTTTAAAGTTCATTTTAAAGAAATGCTGGTGAAGGAAGGTTTTGTTTTTCTTTTGAGCGTACTTTCTGTGAGTATTTTAAGAAACGTATCTTATGATAATTTACATTACTTTACTGTTTTAGTCTAGTGTTATTTATTCTTATGGTAAGTGACCTGAAATTTATGTAAAAGAAGTTTTTTGGAATTTTTAGAAAACGCCCAAATTGATGCAATAAAAGAGCTAGGTATTAAAATTATTGAAATCGAGTCAAAAATAATTGTTAATTATACATTTTTTAGACAATTATTTAACAGAAGATGACAGTAAAAGTGATCTTATCAAACCAGCCGTTGCAACTACACACTATAAACATACAAAAGTCTTTCAATCAAATGGAAATGTGCGAAATTACGATGATCTCACTCTAAAATTAATTCAAAATATAAAAAAATATGCATTGGAAAATAAAGTTAACTTTTGTGATTTACTACCTATGGTACTGAGAGGTCTTTACCAAAGAAAAGGTTCACGATTTCTTACTTCTGATTCACAAAAATACTAAATTTTTATTACAGAGATTGTGTGTGGTCATTCTGCATCAGATCCAATTTGCAATCATCGTACAGGTTTCGCATTTTTTTATTTAAAATGCGTCTTATTCAATTTTTTTAGAAAATGATGGCCACTTGATGGATTATGCGCCAATCCAAACACCTTACTATTTTGATAATAAAGATTCCGATGCTTTGTCACCTAGTCCAGGTAATACTATTTCCACCGTAATTAAAAAGTTAAACCAATTTTTTTAACTCAATGCATTTTTAGAAACAAATTATTCACCGACATTCCCCACCCTTACACATCCAGGTATGTTTAACGCACCATAATTAATTTAAAAAACATTTTTTTTTTTACATTAAATTTTGTGAAAAAATTCCATAAAACTGATATTTTTTTTTGTTTATTGCTAAACTATTCTAGATTTGAATTACCAGCCAGGTTATTACATTTACAAACCGCCACCAGAAATACACATTCCGTTAAGTCATTATCAAGATTTTAGTCCTCCTGGTAGGTAACTTATTTATTTATTTCGTATGTATGGCTTTTATTTGTTGGTTTTTCATAAATAATTTTAAAAATGCAAAAATGAAAGCAAGAAATTCATTTCAGGAAATGTGTACAAGCCAGCTAACTATTTCTACCAGTACCCACAACGAAATCCCGCAAAAGGTAAACAATAATTATTTTAATTTTGTAAAAAATTCAAAAACATATTATTTACATATAATAATTAATACAACTAATTATTTATATGAATTGTTTGAATGTTTTAGGCAAATATAAAATTAGCCCATCACCTTTTAGTAAACCTAATCGAGGTAAGAAATTTTCTGCCAAAACTGCTTTTTAATATTATCTTCAAACATTTATACCTACAGGATGTGTCAGAACTCGAGCACCAGAGAAAAATTTCAAGTAACATTTCAAGAACATGGAAAAAATGTTTAAAAAATTCTCTCAAAAAATTTTAACATTTGCCTTTTTTATGTCTATTTAATGATACTGATGATCTTGTATACAGGGTGATTCAGATAAGATAATGAGCCCGCCGTTCTTGCGATGCAACCCAAAAAACAAATTTCATTTACATCTTGATCTGATTTTAATTAAGATTTGCATTTGCAATCCAAGTTACTCTGAAAGTGCTTTGACAAGCAATTTATGATTTATAAAAAATAAACAGTTTGCCTACCTTTAATGTTTCATTGTTTCATACATTTTGTATTGGGTTCACACGATAAGACTTCTCTAATATTTCTATCATTCCGCGAGAAGTGAAGAGCACTAATGATTGTTCTCTGAGCTGATCTGAGAGTGACATAAGATGATAACTTGGATTCAACTTGCAAATCCTAATTTAAATTGGATCAAAGACGTGAATGAAATTTGTTTTTTGGGTTGCACCGCCAAATCGTCAGGCTCATTACCTTATCTGAATCGCCCTGTATGTTTTTTATAATTATTTAGTAAAGGTATATAAATTTCGCCAATAAAAGCCACAAATATTATTAAACAGAGTTACAATTTAGGATACAGCTTCCTTGTTTCCTCTTCTAATAGCCTGTAGCAAATAAATTAGTTTTCCAACAGAAATAGAGTCAAAGTTAAAGTCTCATAACTTTGAAATTTTTATAGATAAGAATTTTTTTAACATTGTTTCCATGTTTCTGGTATCTTACCTTACATGACATTTTTCTCTGGGGCGTGAATTCTGGCGTACTCTGCATATCATTTCACAGCTAACAAAATTTATTTGACGTAGATTTGTTATCTATTAGGTGATGCATCATCTGGTGATTCAAAAGATGGTGTTGGTGTGCCGAAATCTGGTAATAAATTACTTACTACTATTTATTAAAATACATATTATTAATCAATTAAATAATTGCTTTTAATATACAGGGCGATTCAGATAAGATAATGAGCCTGACGATCTGGCGATGCAACCCAAAAAACAGATTTCATTTACATTTTGATCTAATTTTAATTATGATTTGCATTTGCAATCCAAGTTATCTTATGTTGCTCTGATAGTGCTTTGACATGCAATTTATGATTTTTAAAAAAACTGTTTGTCTACCTTTAATGTTTCACTGTTTCATACATTTTGTATTGAGTTTACACCGAAAAGACTTCTCTAATTTCTCTATCATTCAGCGAGAACTGAATGGCACTAATAATCGTTCTCTGCACTAATGTCAGAGTGACACCAAGATGATAACTTGGATTCAACTTGCAAATCCTAATTGAAATTGGATCAAAGGCGTAAATGAAATTTGTTTTTTGGGTTGCATCGCCAGATCGTCAGGCTCATTATCTTATCTGAATCGCCCTGTATTAGATTATACTTAGATATAATTTCTCAGGTGATTCAAAATATGGTCCCAATACACCAAAATCGAGTAAGTTTAATTATTGTCAGTTGTAACAATGATGAATGTTCTTTCTATACAAAAACATAAGTAAAAAATATTTTTCAGAAATACCATATACGGGTATACCGAAGGAATGGGAGCAATACCTACCTCAAATCATTTCTTTATTAAACGAAGATTCTCAGTCGTCAAAGCCGTCACAAGGTTTAATTTTTTTTTAATGCATAATGGCATCAACATACTCTGAACACAATAAACATCTTTTTTTAGAAATACCAAGTATACCAAAAGAATGGGAGCAATACCTACCTCAAATTATTTCTTTATTAAACGAAATATCTCCGTCGTCAAAGCCGTCACAAGGTTAAATTTAAAAAAAAAATAAAATAATATATTCTGAACACAACTTTTTTCAATAGCTTCAAGTTTTACGACTAATGAGGAAAAATTACCTAAGGTTAAAACACCCATACAACATACCCATGAGGGACCACATTCAGATTCAGTTCTAGCTAAAAGTATGTACACACATACATCTCTTAAAAAATACATTCCATGATTTTATCTCAACTTAAAAAATTTTCAATAACAGCTAACAAAACGTATTTGAAATATTTTTATAGTAGATGTTTTTATCTATTAGGCGATCTTATTATATTATTTATTTATGATAGGATGGTTCTAATGTGCCAAAATCAGGTAAGTTTTGACGATTGTAAACTTGTAGAAATTGCTATTTATATTTTTGTTAAATTTGTTATGTAATAGAAATTCAACCATAAGCAGAACTGTGATCTATATTACCTATATTTTTCATATCACGTAAAAAAATTCAAACAACTCTCAAAAAGTGTCAATTTGCATAGCAGTGATATTTTTCTTAGACGAATCCGTACTTCTCGGAAATGAAAAACCGAAGATTGAAATATCCCATGAGACCCCGCCAGAAAGGAAAAGCCATCACCGATCTGAAATTACACCTTTTATGAGCGGTGGTTATGGATTACAAGGTTTGATAAACCTTTATAAATTAAATTTTCAAACATTTTATTTACATTAAATTTAGAAACATATGGAACTAGAAAAGCAACCAATGAACACAATAATTATCCATCTATGCGGACAAGCCAACGGCGAAAAGGTTAAACACAGAAATTATACTTCAAAAAAAAACTAGTAATTTGTTTTTAGGAAAACATACTTTAAATTATTATGGTCATTATCAAAAATTATTGAAGCAAAAACAAGGTTCATTTCCATTTTTGTTTAGTGTTAGTAATTTTTTCAGACAATAAGTTCTTTCAGATCTTAATGCAACCCCGGGATCAAGGACAATAATTGACAAATCTAGGAAGACATCTCAGGGTAAGCATTCAATTATTTAAACCTCAATTTGTGAAAAAACGTTAAAAATAACAAATCTAACTATAGCTTACACAGGTCAAAGAAATATAATCAATAGAAAAAAATATTCGTTACAACTTGATTCAATTAATTTATAAATTCAAATTGTAATTCGTTTTCCATAAATCGGCTCAAAAACTTTTTTATTTTCAGAACACGAAAAAGGGTTTTCAGAACAAAATCGCCCAGGCACATATAACAATCGAGAACATAAAATTTATTCAGGTATCTAATCTAAATCCACCCAAACGCTTCTTATTTTACATCAAACATTTTAAGAATTTGCATTATTAACATTGCTAAATACTAAAATAATTACGCCTACATATTGTTCAATTACCAACAAAACCAAAATACCAACAAAAATCTTTGTTGTTAGAACAACAACGCAGATATAAAGTAGCTTGACTTTCGATAAACATAATGATTGAATTTACCCAATCATTAGTTGATTCATTATCTCCTTGTACCTTGCCTTGTCTTTAGAAAAAAAAAATGTTTTTATTTAATTGAAAATAATTAAATTTAATGTTCTTGTACAATACAAAAAAAACATGTTTTTATAATTTTAGGCCCCATTTATCTAAATATGAGTAAGCCAATCAAAGGCGAAGGAGGTAAATTACACATAAAAGTGTATACGTTTATATTAAATCAAAATTTTAGGATTTAGTGTTTATCGAAATGGTGCTGATGTTGCATTGGACAACTTCTTAAAGGAAAATAAAGGTAAGAAAACAGTTTAATTTTTTCAAATAATGTTGAAATAATAATTTTAGGTTCTATCTTAAAAAATGATACTTATTATACCATATCATCAAACATGGGATTACCAATAGGTTAGATATTATTGTTTTTAAATTTATATTTTCCAATATTTCGTAGGTTTAAAAATGTTCAAATATCCCTTTAATGAGACTCATATTGCTAACAAAAGCATATCAATTAGTCTTCACCCAAAACCATCAGGTAAATTAATAATAATAACCAACAATTTTCGTTGCAATTATTACAAATTTTTGTAGAATTGGTCAAAGAAAAAGATATCTCAAAAATAAACGATGTACAGTTCCGAATATCGGCAGACGGAAAAGTCACTCCCCAACCCACATTTAGATCAAAAGCGAAGAGAGGAATCGGCGGTACAACTGTGGCGCAATTCAAACCCAGTGGTAGACAACATTATACTATTTTTATGTTGGCTAGAGTTTTTCTGCTTTTAGGTAAAACATTCATAATAAAGGACAATCGTTTGGCGTCGTGTAATGGGGAAATATCACCAGAAACCGGCGAATGCAATAGAAAGCTGATTCCATTAGTCCGCCACAGTGTCACAGATAACTGTTACATTAATGATTTTCCGAGAGTTGCAGACTTCGTTTGTTTGTCTTCAAGTCCCGAACCTGAACCCATTTATATGACCTACTACAGCAACCGGCTTTTATGCGAAACAAACGCTTCCAACGCCAATTTCAAAACTTACGACAGTTTTAATCGAGACTGTGCCGAACATGCCACAAAAGCCACTTACAAATATTACACGAATGGACCTGTAGACGAGAGTGCCAACTGCACGAGAGGGAATCCAAAAGTGTGTACTTTCGAAGAGAATCTAGTACTAAAAGAGGGATCTGGAAATGTTCTCAATTGATAATTAGTTCCCAGTATTCTGTAGAAAATAAATTTAACAATATAATGGTTTTTAGTTTAATGCACCATTGAACTAAACTCCTCGCCAAAATGGTCGCATATTTTTCGAAACGAAGTAAATGCAAATTTGTAGTTGTCTAAATTTTAATATCGTGAAGCCTAATATCTGCAGGAAGTTAATCAATACATATTTTTATTATTAACGTAAAACAACGCAAAATATACGGACGACTAAAAAATTCACATAACATTTTTTTTAAACTTAAAAGACAACAGTGTCTAATATATTTAGTATATTTACTCTTCCTTCTCTTTCTTCTCTTCTTACTGCTTGACATCGCTTATCCATCCTCTGTATTAAATAACTTATGCAATTTTGGTCAAGATGACCCCAAATCTACAATTATAAAGATTTATTGACGCAAATTGCAAGTTTTAATTTATCTTTTCATACAGGGCTTTCATTTCAAAAGCAGCCAATCTCAATAACTTTTGACATTGAATAAATGTATTTTCAAGCAAAAACAGGTCGATTAGGATCGCGAGGGGGAAGTCGCTAGCCACCCCTAATTCAAAATTTTAAATGGAACCCAGTAGTTTTTGAAACATTTTCGGAAGGAGAAAAATGAGCGTATTTGTCAAAAAAAAAAAAAAAAATTGGCGATTCGTTTTTCTATTAGGGGTGGTTTTATCTTAAAAAATTTAATCCTAGTAGCCTTTGATTCGACTCAGTTTAATTTACATAAAAAATACAGGGCTGCGCCAGAACTCGCGCCCCAGAGAAAAATACCATACCAGGAACATCGAAAAAATGTTAAAAAAAAAATTATCTATATGAGAGTTTAAAGTTTGCACTTTGACTCTATTTATTTCTGTTGGAGAAGTAATTTTCCAAGTTTTTTTGCTACAAGCTATTAGAAGGAAACAAGTAAGCTGTACCTAAATTGTAACTCTGTTCAATGTTATTTGTGGCTTTTATTGACAAAATTTTTGTACCTTTATTAAATAACTGTAAAAAAACATACACAAGATCATCAGTATCATTAAATAGACATAAAAAAATGTCAAATGTCAAAAAATAATTGTCAAAATTTTATCTTACTTGAAATTTTTTTCTGGGGCGCGAGTTCTGGCGCACCCTGTATGTCGATTCGGGTTGCGATGGGAGAGTTCACAACCAACATAAAATACGTTTTAGGTTTCATCCCCTAGTCACTAACCACCCTTACTTATCAAGAGGATAAAACGTAACTAAAATGTACACTCTGGTGCATAACTATAGCACCACCTAAATTTTTTGAAATTTTATGATTTTTAAAATAATTATCTAAAGAATATTAATTTCAAAAAAATGGAATATGATTAAATATTTATTGTACCAAAATATAATGACATTTAAACCTTTAATTTTGAATTGATTCCAAAAAAACATTTTTTCCGTGGTGCATAACTAACTATAGTACCACATAAAACTCAAATCGAATATAATCAATTTTAAAATTTATATTCAATATTTGAATCCCCATTACCTTATAACGTTTTTGTCATTGTGTTAATTCATTATTGTCTCGCGGTAATTACATTACTGAACTTGAAAAAGGTAAAATTTTAGCTCTAAGAGAAGAAGATGTCAGAATTCGAGCCATTGCTCGTAAAATTAATCGCTCCCATAAGATCGTGATAACTTTCCTGCGAGATCCGGAACACTATGGACAAAATAAGAAAGGAGGGCCCAAAAAAGAAAATTTGTCCACGTTCTGCACGTCGGATTGTCAATTTAGAGAGTAATTCTTTAAAATGATGATGCCATATTTTTTTTAATGTTTTACCTGAAGATTTTTGAGATAAACCATTCAATATTTTTAAATCAAAATTGAAAAGTTTCTTAGAATTGAATTATTTGTACAACTCTGATGAGTTTTTTAAGTGTAATTTTGCTAGTTTAAGTGATTGATTCTTTGTATTTACCTAAGATTGTGACTTGTGTAAAACGTAGGTACATATCGTTAATGCATCAATAAATTATTATTATTAAAAAAGTTGTAGTGCCATTGCCAGTGAAATTGACGCTAACGTCTCGCGATGGACCATGGAGTAGTTTAAAGCAGAGTTCCCACACTAAGCGTAAAAAATTAAAAACTGCCCCGAGATTACTTCAAAGGCATAAAAATGCACGACTGCAATTTGCACGAGACATTATGCATCAGATTAAATCAAATTAAGAATGATCATTTATCTTAAAAACTTATATTTTTTTTAATTACTGACGATAATTATGAGCATTTTACTTAATGATATTCTGGGATGAAAAACAAAATCAATATGGATAGACCTGATAGGTTCAACTCATATTGGAGAAATCTAAGAAAAAAAAACACCATATTTCTCAAAAAATAATAATTTGATGATGCAAGTGTTATGGGGTGGAGAGCGTTTTCTTATAATGGCGTTCTCCATATCGCATTTTCTTCTTCACGAATGAACATTGGAGAATATATTGAAGTATTGGATGGTTATTGATGCCATTTTTTGAAAATAATCATTGAAATGAGTGGCTATTTCAACAAGATAACGCAGGAATTCACGTTAGTAGCGAAACACTTCGATGGCTAGAAGAACAAAAGGTGCGTGTTATTGAGTGGCCGGCTTGTTCGCCAGATTTAAACCCAATCGAGAATCTTTGGGGAGTTCATGTTCGTTTATATAAAGAAAATCATCAGTACGCAACCGTGGCTGGTCTAAGCATACTTTCATGCAGAACAGAACTTTTGTGGTCATTTGTTAAAATGGAGGAGTCACTCACTATTAAATTAAGAATATAACCTTTATAAGTGCCTTTTATAATTTAAATTTTGTGGTGATATTGTTATGCACCAAGGAAATAGTAGATTATGTTATTAGGAGTAAAAGTTCATTTTGCCGAAAGGAGTGAGGCAAATGGATTCAGCTGAGTCACATAAACTCACTTTTTCTCCAAATAACATAAGGGAGAGTCGGGTAATTGTGCGCAGCAGGTAATCGTGCGCATGCCCTTATTTTCGCAACCACTGTTACAATTTCGAATTCCTTATCCAGGCGCTATCTCTTGACAAACCTATATAATTTCACATATTAGTCAGGTACATCGCTTGACCCTACTTATCTAAAATGGCCACTTCGTTGTTTTCGGATGTTGTGTTCTAATAGATGTCTTGCAGAAAATAAGCCGTAAGTATTTCTATTTTTACATATTTTAATAATTGTACACGTTAATACATTGCTTAATGAATCCCTTTAACACTGATATAATATGTTTTAGATAGAAAAAATGTTTTTCATTGTTTTATAGAATTTAAAAGTGAATCTTCCACTTTCGGTTAATCGGGCGCACGAGGGACGATTAGTCTCAAGTGCGCACAATTAACCGCCATGTACTTTGCATTTATTTTCATTTTATTATATCTTTTATATTTCGTTTTTTTAATCATAGGCCAAAGTATTTTTGCATTTTTAGATAAATAATCATATTTTTACGTTCAATATATTGAATTATTTGTTTCCCTTTTTAATGCGCACGATTATCCCACCTATGCGCACCATTAGCCGCATACGTTAGGTAATGATACGCAGTGTCGTTTTTTAACATTTCATATTTTAAAGTCACAATGTGCATTTTTATGTAAAAGGTACTACAGAACTGTACTGCCAAACTCTTGAAGAATCTTGACGACAAACCTAGAAATCCAATCTTTTATTATTTCAGAAATATTACAATTTTAGCTTAGGTGCGCACCAATACCCGACTATACTATTTTATTCGCAAACGATTCAGATGGAGAGAAAAGAGCAACACACCAATAATCAAGTAAATCACCTCAATAATCAGGACGCTTTGCAATAAAATCATAACAAACGTCACGCACAGTTTCGGAATTTGTGTTGAGATTTCGAAATTACTGATTGATTTAACTGGTAAATAACTGGTGTAGTTTATAGTGCAAAATGTCGAATGCTGATAATCTACCTTGTACCTCTCCAGAAAATGCTGAAAAAGCGAAAGAGACAAGAAAGAGGCAACAGTGGTAAATGTCAAAGTAAGTGTCAAGTAAAAGTGAAAACGCCTAGGCGTAAAAACAGTGTTTTTACTCCATGACTGAAAAGTAAAACTTTTACCAGTGTCATTTTTCTGACGTTTTTGTTTCTTCCTAATTAATTTACAACTACATGTTTAATTTTTTTAATATTATGGTACAATAAATATTGAATCATATTCCATCTTTTGAAATAAATATTTCTTAAATACCTAACTGTTTTAAAAGTGCTAAATTTTCGAAAAATTTAGGTGGTGGTATAGTCATGCACCAGAGTTTATACAAAATAAAACTAAAATGTAACTAATGTTGGTTTTGAACTTCCCCCGCGCGATTCTAATTGACCTGTTTTTGCTTGAAAATATATTTACTCAATGTCAAAAGTTATTGAGACTGGATCCTTTTGAAATGAAAGTCCTGAATAATCTCTGAGGTTTGTTTTTTAATACCTCGTACATTACATATTAAAAAAAATCATTAAATCACCAAAAACATAGCATAGCATAGCACATAGCAAAAAGTGGAACGATATGAATCTATTGAGATTTGTCTTCGTCGGAGAACGCCTCCACCACCGCACGCACGTTCTTTTGCGGAGATTTTTTTCAAAATCGTCAAATATTTAGCTTCCATTTTGAAAAAAAATAGTTAACAAAAATGATAACGTAAAGTTTACAAATATGCGCCAATTTTAGCGCGAAGTGTATCTTTTTCTGACGCTTTAGCTTCGTGGGAGCCATAAAATCACCGAAATTTGATAAAACATGTGCAAATATCTACAATTTAAAATAGGGTATAGACTCGTGAAACAAACTTCGCTGTGTAAATGTAAAATTTAAATTTTTAATAATATAAACATGTTTAATTACACATCATTAATTCATATTGATACAAACCTCCTACAAAAATTAATTTTTTGAACGGGAAAATTTCTTACATTTTGTACAAATTACAAACTATGTTTTTTTAATGATAACAATAACAATAATAGTTATGTTCCCTTGAAGTATGTGTTACTAGTTGCATTTTAATGGACAATAAAAGCACTTCACTATCTGCAATGTTGACCCACGATCAAGGCTTACGATTACAGGAACATAAAACAAGTTCTTCCTATACTCATAATATTTAACGATTGCAAGTCAAATATATCGTGTATTGAGCAACACGCAACGTAAAGGTAAGACACGTATATTCACACTAAAGTGATTAGAGCTAAAAATATAATTTTAACCTTTCAAACTCAAGAAAGTGACCAATAAACCTTACATAGTTCGATTAATTATTACACGTGCGTAGAGTGACAAAAATTTTAGTTTTTTTATTTACGGAAAATCAGTAAAAATGATAACCACCAAATGGCGAAAAATCTTTCTCCTTTTCATCTGTTCCGTAAGTACCCAAAATACAATTAATTGAATTATCAACTGCGTATTTTTAGTTCCGCTACACAGAATGTAAGTGAATTTTGTTACAAGGTCGCACATATCAGTGTGCAATATGCATAGAAATTTCAGCTGCGGATTATGACTTTGACACTGGAAACTTGGAAAACTTAGGTACAAATATTAACAGACAAGTCCAGGAAAGTCTCAGACCCCTTAATAATCTAGGTGCGACTATTAATCAGCGTGTGAATAAAGAATTAGAACCCCTTAATAATCTAGGTGTTACTATTACTCAACGAGTCAATAAAGATTTAGAACCGGTGCGGCAATTACCATCAAAACTTGATAATTTAGGCTACACCATATCCCAGCAAGTGTATGAGGGTCTGAGACCAGTCCGTGAGATGCAGTCCCGAATGAGAATCAAGTTTGGGACTGAAGGAACTACTATTGCAACTTTTCAAGGTACAAAGTTAGAAAAATTGAATTCTTATAATAACGTTATTACAGATAACAGACACTTTATTATACGAAATAGTGTTATGTACACATGCGAGGGTCAAATATCTCAAGAAAACGGCAGCTGTTCTGGCAATTTGAAAAAAGTTACATTTAACAACGACAAAGATTTTTGTTATGCAAATGTTAACGCCATTATTAACAATTATTACTGCATTGGTAACGGTAATGTAAACACCGGTTACGTCAACGGGAAAATATACTGCTCCAGCAATGATGGTAGTAAAACTTTGCTGATTCCGGAACAGGAGTATAAGAAACTTTGTGGAACAGTTGCAAATATGGTAACTTACAAATACTTCACCAGTCTGAAATTAGGAGATCATGATAGTGGTGTTCATTGTACAGGAAACGAGCCCAGAATTGTTTGTACTATGACCGAAAATCGTCAAAATATCGGTACTAACATCATACAAGTAAATGGTGGGTCCTATATCAGCACAATAAATTAAATTTACTTATTTTTTAACAATTATATTTGCACTGAACGAATATAATAAATACTGAATACAGGTTTGTATCAAAAATTAATCATAGACAATTGAATGAAAATAATTGTGTTTAAAACTTTTATTTCAAAAATGTTTTTATACAATTGCAAGTGTATTGTAAGGATAATAAAAAGTACGTGAGATTACAAATGGTAGAAATACTACTAGTACCTATAATACTTATAATATCGTTTTAGATCATATCACAAATAAATAATCACAATTTTATTTGCACCTAATGGAATAAATATGAAACCGAACAGAGCAGAGAGCATAAAACTACAAAATAGTTGTCTTTTTTTTGCTTAATTTTTAAAAATACGTTCACAATGTGTGATAAGAGTTTCAATTAATAAAATATCACTTGTCATGTCAGGCATTACGTCGCTTGCAGATTCGCTTGGTCCAATTAAAGTCGGAGCAAAAACAGTGGCTAAGTTGTGAGAATTCATTTTGTTTATCGCCGAATGCAAAGATACTCTACAACTCTATGAATAAAAATACAATAAAACAAATACCATAATTACCTGTGCAAATGTTCAATCATATATTTCAAAGTGTCGTAATGTGGTTTGGGCAAAGATTTAAGAGCATGTTTAACCGATGATATTTTCAAATCGTGATTTTTGTGTTCTGTAAACAAATATTAATCATTATAATTATTTATTTAGATAATCACAACTTACGCATTGCGTCAATTAGAAGTGGATGAACGATAAATGTAATGAGAGGAATCGGCAAAAGTCTTAGATACGATTTTAACGCTCCTGTGATCACATTGACGTTTGGATATTTTTCCTGACTTAAGTCGGCTTTTTCACCATCTGGAATTATACAGACATTTCACACTTTCGTAGTTCCAATAAGCGCATCACCTTTATCAAAAGCCATTTTAATTGCTTCGATTTCTTCAGCAAAACCACTCAAACGATAAATTCCTTCCGTTGTAAGACCTCTGGCTTCAACTTCCGCCACACATTTTGTTACAACGAATGGTAATTTGGCGTTGTGAGCTGTTAAAAGTGTCGTTAGTTCAATGCCAAATACGCCCCGTAGATATTTCAAATCAGGAACACAGTCGTTGGGAAATTTCTCAGAACACCGAACTGTAAATGGTTACAATTTCCATTTTAATACCAGCAAATAAAATAAAATTAAATCTATGAAACAAAAATAATTACGTCCTCACCTTTTTTTTTAGATAAAATAAAAGAACAACCAAAAGCCCACATGTTAATTATTGCAAACCGGGTTGACACAGAAAAAAACAATAAAATTAAATCCTTCTCATTAATTTTTTGATAACATTTTAACAAAATAACAATTTTTTAAACCAATTATATTTTTTGACATATTTGAGACCCAAAAAATTCACAGAATTAAAAAAATCCTAGGTACATATTAAATGTTTTCGAAATTATTTCTCAGAAATTATGTAATTTATATAGTTAAGCTATTTTACTCTACTAACTTCATTTAGTTTATTCCAGAAACAAATAATAACATAATTTCTCATCAAACGAGACAATTCTGAAGTTTATTATCTATTACAAAACACAAACTTTTTAATATTATTGTTACACTACACAGAAAAAAAAATTATCAATATTGACATGAATTTGCATTATTTTGAATTATTTTGATCGATAAGCAAGATTTTGAAAACTATAACCTTATCTCCAACATAGCTATAAGTAAAAAACAGTAATTGCAAATTGATAATTAACAATTTGTTTTTATTTTCCTCATTTAAAAAAAGACAATGTGTGAATCACAAAAATTTGAGTTGCATTTCATTGCATAGTCATTTCCGAGGAATGCAGCACAGCAAAAAGGTCAAAGAAATCAAATAAAAACTGCATTCCACCCTAAATTGTCCTCAATTATCATCGTCAATTGCTGATGTCAACGAACCAAAACAATTAATTGAATCTACTTACCATGAGCAATCATTCCACAATCATCACATCTTTTTCCTTGAAATGTAAAACCCCACAAGAAGTTCCCACACAATTCGCACCAATTAAGACCCTTAAACGTCGTCAATTTAAACACGTGTTGTTTTTCGTATTTTTCTGGAAAATTAGGTCCTAGTATTTGCTGACTTAATGGAATATTTGGCGGAATGTTTAAATCTTTCACATAATTTTTATTTCTGTAACGAAACAATTTATCAATCCGTATATTTCAATTAGAAAAAAATTACTTGGCATGCTCTTTACTCAACGCCCTCAACTTGCGCTTATTTAACGTCATGTAGGGGCTCTCTTGATAGTTGGCAGTGGCAAGTCTTTGCAAAATTAGTGGAGCTTTCAATTCCAGATACATCGTGACTAATCCATCAGCCACCAAAGACCTAACACAATCATAGCGTTTTTCCCGGACGTACAACCCAGTATTTGGATCGTAGAAAAGTTTGTAATGATGAATTTTATCGTTAAATCTGAGGAAAATCATCGGTAATTCCGAGCCTGATAAACCAAAAAACTCACTTGAGACTCAGTGTGTGGAATTGGCCGTTGGCCGAGCGGCTGCTGCGAACCAGGTAAGCCCCGTTTTCATGAGGGCTGAGGAGATTCTGTGCCTGGATGTGCGAGATAGCCCCGTGGTAATCGCGCCCCAGGAAACTCGGCAAGTCGGGAGGCACCTCATCGCTGATTATAGGGATGGGAACGGGGGCAGCTAGCTGCATGCGGTACACTAAAACCACAACATGGGGGCCCAAATGTAAACACTGTTTTTTACATACAACGCAAGAAATCGAAAGACGGAGGGTACAAGTAGTTGCAACACGCCTCCATGTCTAACTTATTTAAATTGAAAATTCCAACACCGACCATTTTATTACGAGATTGAGCAAATTTAGGTTATGTCACTTACGATCGCTTTTCCAAACTGTGTGAATTGGGGAATCCGACTCGAAGCCCATTTCGACGATTATCTAATCTTGCTATTTACATAGATAAGAGAGGTGCATTTTTATTGCATTGTAAACTAATATTGTGGTGCAGTAAACTGACAGCAGGTAAATAAAGAAAAATGACAGGTGACGTGCTATTGGATAATTTTAAGCGGGAATTTTAAAATCAAACTATTGTTTAATAGTTACTTCATTTATTAGATCAAAAATTACACCGCAAGGAATATTTTCGCCTTTTTGTACTAAATAAATTTACCTAATAAAAGTATGTACACCTAATAACAGTAATTATTAGTGAAAATAAATACTTTTACATTTAATTATATAAAATTTACATCACAATATTGTTATGACTTAAATATTTTATTTGCAATTCTCTCTATTAAATTTGAATAACTACCAATAATGTGAAAAATGAGTAATAATTACTCCTGCGATAAGAAATCTATTATGAAAAAAATCTAATCTACCAGGAAAAGTTGATAAAAATATTTCAAATAAACAATTTAATAACAAAATAATCCGTACTGCATTAGTAACAATAATTGACAATGTTTAGATAACTTATCAATTGGTTCAAATACCCAGAAAATTGAGAATCAACTTAAAATATTGCTTTCGGCAATAAATCAGTTTTTTATTTATTTTTCCTGCTCTATTCTACCTAAAACTACATTATACACATAACATAATATAGGTGAACGCAGTTTGAATCTTATCATCCGTTTGTATGCTTTGGCCTAATTTTATTCCACTGAAATTCTTACCACATTCCTGAGAAATATTTGGAATAATTTTTGGCAGTAACTTGGCTTATTATCGTTTCTTGTTCCTTAAAGGTGCGTCTAAAACATGAAATGATCAGTCACATAACAAACCCTTGTTAGCAAACCACTAACCCAAGTTCCTTATCATAGGCGTGCTTTTTGTGCTTTATGTATAAATAAATAACGATAAAAAGTGTAATGAAATAAACGCGTGTGAACTTATCGATTTGCAACTGCATATTTATCATTTTTCAGAATAAAGCAATGCCGCGAAATACCGGCAAAATGATAAAATCATGCAATTATCGTTAGTGTGAAAACCGTGAATAGAAAACTACTCAATGCAGGTACTAAGCTACAAATAATACAGTAAAAATGTTGAAATATTTATATTTTTAAAGCAAAATTCCACTAAGCAGTTAAAACAATGAGTATTAAAATTTTCGCTAACAATATACCTAATAACAATTTAATATAAAAATTCGTTTCTGCCAACAAATTCCAAAGCGTATATTCAAGTAATTATGATCATTATTACTCAAATACCATAATCAGCTACTAACATTTACAAATATTATGCACAATTACCTGAGCCATATACACAATATTTCATCATTTCCAAAAAAGACAAACTGGCCAACAAACCGATTAAACAACATAAATACAAGACCGATTTAATGGTCAGTTCGATACGTATGTAAGTACACAACAATTATTATTAACTTGTTTTACAGGCAAATTACACAGAAAATAGTGCACGATTCAACACGATATCAGATACATAAAAATATAAAAAGATTGGATTTAATACTGGAGCATTACACTGGGTAGACAAATTTAAATCAAACAAAACTGAGAAAACACAAAGTGCTCTTTATCACATTACTTAGAACTTTCAACAGTGTTTTCCTTTGAAATTATGAATTAATTAAATATCACAGATACGGCTGGTATATCTTAAACGTAAATAGTAATTACGACGTCAAAATTAATCTAAGAGTATGGTTCAAATTTATCTTCCACCCAGTGTAATATTGTAAAATAAAAAACCTAAAACCCACTTCCTTTACAAATTAATAAATATACATAAATTAAAAATAAATAAATAAAATTCGTAATTCCCGATTAGTTCACAGAAAAAATACAAAAGAATTTGGACCAATCATTAGATTGTATAAGATAATAAAAGTAAAACACAAATGGCCTTTAGATATGAATTAAAACCATAGGTATCGCAATTTTACAAATAGGTTTTTGTAGGTATATAATTAAAGCGGGAATTTTACAATTTGGCCTAATTGCACCGAATGGAATGTAAATTCACAGTTACATTTCAAACCATTTTATACAATACTGCGAGCAGTAGGAAACATTTATAGTAAAACTTGGCTTTTATTGAACTTCCTTCATCACCATTTTCGCCAACGCATAAAAAAATACCTTCGCTCGATTCGCTAAAATAATAAAAATTATATTTTGCAACAAAAACAACATGAAAATTGGCACTTGTTATCTAAACACAAAAGCTGGTTAGTTAATAAAAACCAAGTTAATGATACACACAACTAAAACTAATTAAAACACACCAGTGAAATAGTGATATGTACAATCAGTATCACAAAACAACTTCAGGGATTTTGTATTTATTTGAAGTTTTTACATGTTTTATTGCCAAGAAATTCGAAAATCCCGACGATACCACTATAACACTACGAATTTAGAATATTTCTTTTCACAAAGCCTGTCCTTCGAAGCGTTTATTTTACAATAAAACGAGCAAAAAAACAGAAAACAAATCGTGATGAAATGATGGATGATCAGTCTGCTATTACACCTACATTCATTTGTAATCGGTGTCCACGCGATTCTTCAGTTGTTCCTGGTGAATTTCCAAAGCAAGCATGAACCGCAAAATCAACGTCAATAACGTCGGTGTACACAGACGATTAACGACAACGATTGTGAAAGCGAAAACGACATAGATCGATAAAGAAAAACGCCTATTTCAAATTAAATTTATCGCATGCAAAAATAACACTATTAAATCACTATCTAAAACCTAAAACTAAATAATCAAGAAATCAAAATCACTTTTTATTAGAGAATATTTTTATTGAGTTGTAAGAATTTCGGTGTAACTAGAAATAAACGAAGAAGTATACAAAAAGCATGCCTAACAAAGAGGAAAAGTAAGCGAGAAACGTAAACTGTGTACACGGACGAATAAACAATTCCGTTTTCTAGGTGTGAAAATTTGATAGAATTGTCTGTCAGGCGAGTTTCTACAAGCTGAAACTGATTTTTAAAGTTTGATAAACTAGAACAAGTGTTGGTTTTTCGTTTGCATTCTCTTTTATAAGTAGAAATAGTAGATGATAACGAAAGTGTTTAACATGCAACGTAGCTTAATAGAAAAGTAAACATTCAATAGATACTTGTATTTAATTAAAAACTGCAAAAATACAGTGTTTTATGCAGGTAATATAAATATTGTCCAATAAAAACGAAAGTAAATTGTTCAACAAACATCGGTATTGCAATGTAGTAAATATTTCAATAAAACGTTGATAACAGATTAGAAATAAGATTTTTAATTTAGTTAAACATTCGTAATTTCGAATTATGTATTCAAAATTCAAAAGTATTAAAATGTTTTTGTAAAAAGTATTTGTAAAACCACATGACATGAAGTTTTTGGAGATGCGATTTCTAGGACCTATTTTAATGAAAAAAATACCCCAAAATTTAAAAGTTCTGAGATCTGTCACCAATGTTAACAAGGCAATTGGAAGATTTACCAATAATTTACAAATAATTTTTTTTTAGAAAAATAAAAACGTTCATTGATGATTAATAAAAACCGAATTATTAAATTTTGTAAAAAACTGATTAATTTAAAACAATTTTGTTTTTCAATTTTTAAAATACTACACAAGACTTTCAATCTACGCCCTAGTACTTAATTATTTCTTTGTAAACCTATTTCTGTCAAGTGTGTTTTTTATATGGCACAAAATTAACATAGTAGATTGAAATAAACCTAAAATCTATAATATGTATTTATTGTTTTAAAAAAAAGTGTCCGAAACAACGCAAGAATATATTGAATTTTTGTCGAGACAAAAAGACATTTGAGCGTTTAAAACAGTTTCGTATACATAATACATAGAATGTTTTTTCTACAATATTTAAATTCATTTTTTAAAATACTTCAAAATTAGTTTTCGATGTGCGAAGTTCAACTTCACATACAACTGTTGAAAATATGTACTTTTAAAATTGACCCACATTTTACATCTAAAACATTGATAAAAAGACGTTTCTTTTATTTTGTTTTTTAACATCCAAAAGTAAATAAAATAATAATAAAATCCAAACAATTTCGCAATGATTTTTAAAAAAGAAAGAAGAAATACGTATTTATATAAAATCTTATTTCTGGATGAGTGTCGGAGTCAAATAAAAAATAATTAATTTGAATTGGAATAATGCAGCAGTTTATGTTAATGTTCAACAAAACTAAAAATCAGTTTCAGCCTAGATTTAGATTTTACGAAAACTGTGTAATAACAACTGATTTACATGGTGAAACCAGTGCTGTGAGCCTTTGAAGGTTAAAATTTTTCAATCTGAAATAAAATCGAAACCTTCAAAGTTTCGAAAAGTGATTGAAAAAGCACAAGTGAGTGAAATTGTTATCGCAAAACCCACACTCAAGATGAAACCAAAATTTAAAAAACCATGTTTGATTATTACTAACTGAATTTGGTATGACTGGGTGTGAAAGATGCTTTTATTGTGTTTAAGGCTTGGAACTCACCATTTCTGAGGTGAGACAGTTGATGGCGTGTTCCACTGTTCGCTTGTGATGTCCTGCCTTCATGGAAGTGTTCGACGATTGACGCAACGGCGTCGTCGGGCATCCTACACATCGCTTCGTCTTAACTAAGCTTTAACTATTAGCTAATCAACGATAATATGCTAATCCCCCATTCATAATTACTTGGATTTTAAGCGACAGATTAGTTTTATTGATTATTGCGTTTAAATGAAACGATTACGCTAATATTTCAACAGTTTTGTTTAACAACAGAAAAGAGAAGAGTGCAAAAAAGTCAAAAAATGGAATAATCAATAATCTAATCTAAAAAAAATTAGTAAGAAGAAAATGACATGCAGAATTTTAGTTAGTGATTCACTCACCCATATCTCCGCTACTTGATGATTCAGTAAATGAAGGCGTACCTTCGGTCCACGTCGGGGTGGAGCCCTCGACGGATGCGGGAGGCGTCCACGCCAACCCCCGTGAGTGGCTCGAATGACCGGCCCCCGAACTGCCCGACTCCACGCTCAACGACGACTTTGTCTCGGCGCGAGACTCCAGCTTAATATCAGTTATACTAAAACTACAACAATTAAAAAAAGCTCTTTCGACGCACCAGATGACAAAAGTAGGAACATTTCGAAACCAAATGTGTTTTTTCACCAATCTAAAGAGAAATTGACCCTCTGTAAAGAGTGGTATTTTTCGAAATCTACCTAAATTCTGAAAAAGACCAGAATCAACTTACCTAACAACGTCCTCTTTGTAATTCTTGACCGTTACGTGATGGTGCGAATGATGGGAACCCACCCTAACTCTGGTCGGCGTAGATGAAGGGACTCCTTCGAGGGATGCAGAGGCTCTCTGTTCAAGGACTTCATCGAAGGTTGGCGGAGGGGTACTGCAGCAACTTGGAGCTACACCTGCGTAGGTACATATTTCAACACTACAGTCTAGCTGAGATATATTGAATTCGTAGTAAGCGTATCAAACAAAGCAGCAACTCAATTATTTATAAAGAGAAAAGACGAAGCGCAAGAAACAAACAACTAGGTTATTAAAAAAGTATAGACCACGAAAAATATGCCAGCAATGACGAGAATAAAAAAATATTTGCACAGTTTCGAAATGACAAAGACTTCATTCGAATTTGAAAAACATTCGGAGGTGTAAAGAGCACAAAACACATACTCGTAATACAGGGTGCGCCAGAACTCGCGCCCCAGAGAAAATTTTCAAGTTAAGTAAGGTACCAGGAACATGAAAAAAATGTTTAAAAGATTCTATCTGTCAAAAAATTTTGACATTTATTTTTTGACATTTGACATTTTTTATATCTATTTAAGGATACTCATGATCTTGCATATGTTTTTTTACAATTATTTAGTAAAGAGACAAAAATTTTGCCACTAAAAGCCACAAATGACATTGAACAGAGTTACAATTTAGGATACAGCTTCCTTGTTTCCCCTTTTAATAGCCTATAGCAAAAAAACTTGGAAAATTATTTTTCCAACAGAAATAAATAGAGTCAAAGTGCAAACTTTAAACCCTCATAACTTCGAAATTTTTATAGATAATTTTTTTTTAACATTTTTTCCATGTTCCTGGTATCTTACCTTATATAGCACTTTTCTCTGGGGCGCGAGTTCTGGCGCACCTGTATTACCTAGAATTTTTCATACTTTTTAATACATCTGATTAAACACAATTTGACTTTTGAATTCAATTTCTGGGTATTGTATATATTTAGAGTGAGTCTATTAAGAGTATATTTTACCTTTGGTACCAACCCTTGAATCCCTCTCTTAAGAGGAAAACGGCGTATTTTCTTGAATTTAAGAAGTTTCAGTCAACAATATTATTCATAAAAATAATAAATCTTAAAACGGACCGTTTGTAAAAACGTTCAAGCTAAAAAAACTGTTTGTATTTATATGTTTATTTATTTAGATAAGTCCCAACTACTTTACGTAAATACATAAAAAATCAGTTTTCTGAAAAAAAATATTTATAAAATTTTCAGTCAACAAATTATTTACAATTTACAATAAATATTAAAAATGATGTCCATTTTCTCGCGAGCACAAGCCAATTTAAGAATAAAATGTTCTTCGAACATTTCTTAATTGTTGCATAGTGATTTGGACAAAAGCATGTTTTATGCGGTTTTTTATGTCGTCCGGAATTGCTGGAATTTTTTCATACACTAGGGAAATGAATAATGATTTTCTGACCTCCGTAAATCCTCAAATGTCACGATTTTAAACTCTTTAGTAAGAACTATTTGACACTTCTTATATTTAAGAAAATGCGCCATTTTTCGCTAAGAGAGTGGGTGTGACAAAGCACTAATAATTTTTTTACGGTTATCCGGAATTTTTCTTTATATTTTTTTTGCATAAAACACCACTAAAGCATATTTTGTTTTAGAATGACGTTAAAAATAATACAAATTATTATTTTTCTTCACCGAATTAACATAATTTAATTAATTTTTATTATAAGAAATAGTAGAAAAAATCTGAAATTGACATGCACAGAGAAAAAAACAAATTTTTTATGGTAAACGCTGATCTGTCTTTGTTACAAAGTGAAAATATACTTTTGGTAGACTCAACATCGTAGTATTACGTGAATCGCTTTATATACTTACTAGAAACAGCTATTATTAATTATTGTTAATTTTAATTTTTGCTTTTTTTGGTTGTGATAATGAAAAAGCTAAAATTACATTTTTTGAACGTTTATCATTAATAACATCTGAATGTGAACACATTTTGACTGCTACTTGTAAAACCATTTTGACACTGATTACATTTTGACAACCCAGTATGTGTTTCAATATAAAAAAAATACAAAAACTTACAAGAATACTATTGTTCATTTTGTACCGCCATCGTCATATAAAAAAAATTGCAAATTCTAAATTGCATAATATTTGTGATAACATGACATTGTTGACAAAAAATGCGAAAAAATCAGTTTCGAAACTGCGCAAATAAAAATGCTATTAGGAAACAAACTCTTAAATTAAACATAATCGTCCATGCTGTAAAAATACACGTCGGCAACATTCCAATTTAAATTTCCCCAAGGTCGTTCGTCGGTCTCGCCCTTATATCACAAATATTCATCGGAACGACTTCTCTTATGCGTTCTGGCATCATGCACAGAATCAACAAACAGAAGCGTGTTATAAGCATGCGATCGTTTCGGTACTACAAAGCTATGCTTCGCACCTTTCCCGTTGACGTTGCCCTTTTTTACTTTGGGAGTGCCTCTGGGAGGTACTGGCGGGGGCACTTTAGGCTTACTTTCGGTACTCGACCGTCCTACGAGAACAGCAGGATACGAGGAACCGGGAGGTGAGGTGAGAGGCGTTCCGGCCGAAGGATAGGAAGGAGGTGAGATTTTGGCGGGTATCGTATCCGTAGGACTCACTGCGCAGCATGAAAAAAAATTAAAGATGCGATTCGGGAATACTCAACCACCCATATGATACAAGAAAAATTAAACCACTCACCGGTTTTGCTTCCGTTCTGTTGGCTAGCATTCACCTGCGCCTGCACAGCTGTAGCTGTATAACCCAACACCACATGAATTAGCACAAAACGATTTACTTAAGCACAAAATGAATTTGGTTTAAAAAGCAATTTATCGTTGGGAAGTAAAGTTTCGACATCTTGAACATCGTGAAAATTACTCAATGATCTGATGCAAAAGCGATTCACGAGCAACAAATCAAAACAAATATACTCACTGTTATTATCAGATTCTTCGTGAGGTCGGAGGGGTCGCGACAGAGATTTTCTTTTTGACGGGGAATGTTTTAACGCTGCAACAAACAACACCGAATCGATTATAGCAAAACTGAAAACTTCAAACACAAGAAAAACTATCATCCATTTAATTAAAAACAAAGCGTCAATTTAAATCACGCATTAAAACACATGGATGTTCACACATGAATAAAAAAATTATCAAAGTGAATAATAATCACCATTAATTACTATAAATACACAATTACAAATCATCAACACATTAAACGAAAACAAACCACAAACAACATTACCTTAGTGTCTAAGTAGTTTGCAATTATATTAAAAATATTGTAATCTTGCAATTAGTGACGCTAAACAAGTACAAATTTGAAGATGAAAAACATAAAAGCCCACTTTTTTAGTAGAAATTTAGAATTTCTAATAAATGTTGTCTTATATAAATACCAAATAGTTTAAAGCAAAAGAATGACAAATGTTACAGTAAATATTTTTGTAAAAAAATGTGCTCATTTTTAAAAAGATAACACAAAACACGACTGTAATTTTTAAAGGTTTCAATCAGTACTGTTTTACTAAAGCCTTTGTAAAAACAAAGTAAAGCTAAAATTTCTTTAACTTCTTATTTGATCTAAATTACTGTGTCAAATTCTCAAAAACACTCTTCATTGATTATGTAGCTTTTTACAGAGGAATTAATTAAAAAAGATCACGCACACTTCACACGCGATTCTTATTATAACAAATTAATAAAATATGCAAGTTTACGAACGCCATTTAATTACACTGCATTCAATTGAAAAGTGGGCTTTTCTGGTCATAGACTAAGTAAACTATTAAAGGAAAAGATAAAGAATAAAAGCAAATACAAGCAAAGAAATTACAAAACAAGAAAAACTGTTAAAACCAAAAAAAGTAGCAAATGTTAGTTAATAAGATGCAATAAAATACCGTGGGATGGACTTTACCTATGTAGCTGGTAACCAGTGTGCGAAACTTGCGATGATTGCCCTTAATCTCGGGCAAGTCCACTACATGAAGCATTGAAACACACACATACAGAGTCAGAGTCCAACATACTACATAACTACTCGCTACGAATTATAGAAGTGGTGGCAATGAAAATGATATAAACAACGGGATTATCGTTCATTGGTACCAATATATCCACTACTATAATTAGTAATAAAGAGGTAAAAATCCTGGCTTTGACATTAACACAAAAACTACATTAACAAATGGTACATTGAAAAGTGGGAGAGCCAACTACGGATTCTGGATAGAGAAAAACATGGAACATATTCCCGATCATCCCGATTTCTTCGCCAGTTAAAAATTAAACCATAGACTGTTAAGTTGATCCCACATATCTGTTATGTTACATACAAGATGATACTTTTCGAGTACTTACGTGAAGGTATCTTTTTGAACACTTTTTCAGCCATAAATTTTTGAAACCTTTGAGCGTAAAAACTAGGTCTATGGACCGATACAGTATCCTACAAAAATTTTAACATTTAGTCAAAAAAATAAAGCACAAATAAGAGACCAACCCCGTCGTGAATCATTGATTTCCAAGTGTGTTCTAATTTCTTCTTTAATCTATAACTCTGCAAGATGTCGATTATTCCGATAAACAGCAGCAGACGTTCTCCTTTAGCGTTTCTTGCAGGAATTCCGCCAGGACTAAAATTTTTATTTATTAATTATGTAATAGAATTTTCAAACAAAGAAATGCCCGGCAGAAAACAGAAAATTATTTTTTTTACAATTTGGTTAAAACAAGCACTGAATTTAGTTAATGATGTAGCGAAAACAAAAATATAAAATTAGTGTGCGTTTACTGTTGAAAGTTTGGCCAAAAAAAATTCTTCAAAACTTGAAAACAGGGGAACCAAAAGTAGCGCAAAAAACATAATTTTATGGGTCATTTAAAAAAAACCTCGAACAAGTTGATTTTATTTTTATAAATGATATATTTTCATTATACTATTATTTATATCGTCAATGCTTTTTAAGTAACGACGTTATCAGTATTTTTCTGAATGACAACCAACATTTTTGTTTACTGTTTTTAGTAATATTTTCTTTTAAAAAGATAGAAGAATGTACCAATTACCAAACAGTCAACAAAATTGTTGGTTGCCATTAAAAAAAAAATGATGAAGTCATTACTCAAAATCCAATGACGTCATAAATGTTACAATACTGTCAAAATGTAGCATTAATAAAAATAAAATCGACCTATTTAAAACATTTTTTTGAATAAGGATCCATAAAAATATGAATTTTCTGCGTTACTTTTGGTTCACCTGTATGTATTTTTCAAGTAAAAAAATGTGTTGAGTTTTCTCAATCTAAACTAAAAGTTTTGCACGATAAAACCCTAGAAAAAAAATTAAATAGATTTCCATTTACTTATCTTGTCTCTATGCTTATCTTTAACTTTACACAATTAAGAAAAATTAAAATAATCACAGAAATTGTATTGCTAATTGCCAAAAATAAAAAAGTCCGTACTTTGAATCACTGTTTATTATTCTATAAGTTCATACTTGAAAAAAAAATGCATGAAAAATTGAGCCGAAATATCGCCAATGATATTTAATAACATCAAGATAATAGAAAAAAGTGGAGCACTAAAAATCAATAATAAATCATAACAATACAAAGATTTTGAAATAGATTTTGTTTTTTACAAAGCAATTACAACAAAGAAATGACACAACTTTTAACGTTACTTGAAAAGTTTTTGTTGATTATAATAAAAATATGCATTTCGGAGAACTCAATTTAAAATATTGTTCATTTATCACAACTGTACGAAGTGCTAATTATTTAAAAATTAATCACTCAATTTGTATGAATCGAGATTACAATCACGGTGCAATTATGTACTTGACATAATTGGAAAAATATGACTCAGACGATAGCATACCTACTATTGTGATAGTGTCAGAGCGCCAAATCGACTAAGAGAATTCGAAACTGATTTTTTTCAGCGAGTCATCTTTTTTTAAACCAGAAAATTCTCCTTAATCCAAATAGAAGTTTTATAATAAAATTTAGTCACTTACGGAACGTCCTCGTCCTCGTCTATAGGCTCCGATTCCGCCTGAATGCTCTCCATGGCAGTGGAATGAGCAACCAGTCTTTGTCGATTGATTGATCTACTTCTATTCAAAGCGGCAGCTCCGATTCTGTCGTCCTTTTCTCTTTCCCTTTCATTATGAATCATAGCACCACTAGCATCAGAGAGAGTACCTTCCTCGGGTACTTCTTCTAGATTATTACGAGATCTTTGTTCCTAAAAAAGATGTAAGTATCGGTCAGAATATAGACAAAAGCAATAATTACTTGTTTTTCCCTCTGCGCCTGATCCAAATTATGAATCGTTAATAATAAACTATAATCCATAATTTTAAAACTTTCCAAAACTCGACAATCTCGATGAATCGTCTTTATTAAAGCGTTGTACGTATCAGCTTCCATTAAAATTCCCTCAGGATGATGTTCCATAAAATCCAGATCTTTGTAAGTAGGAGAACGCTTCTGACTCTCGGCTTTTGACGCCTATTAAAAAATGAATTGACTTTGATGAAATGAATGTCAATAGAAACTTTACCTTTCTTTTATAAGTGCTTCCTTTGAGATCATACTTTTGATGCATCACTACTGAGCTAGGTAACAGATTATTCATAATTGCCAGTCTTACATTTTTGCTATTACATTGATAACAGTACAAGCCGAAAAATTTCGGTAATAACGTTCGCGGATTTTGATTCAAATTCATATAATAACCTACACAAAAGAAGTAATAAAACATTATTTAAGTTTTTCTCATCATACCGGGTAATAATTTTTGCAAAAATTCTCCCTCCTTATGCTGTACAGTCTTAACAATAAATTCATCATCACTAGTCAAATAAAAAATCGATCCGCTAGCTCCAGGATTGGACAACTCTCTTAAGGGACTATCACACATTGACATCTACAAAAAAAAACCGTAATTATTTCTAATTACCCAAAAATGATAAAAACTCACTAAAAAGTCGTCAGGTTGTATTCCGAACAGATCTCGGAAATATCTAAAAGCTATCGGAGCGTAAGTTTTAAATTTAAACTCGGAAAAATGATGAGCCGGAGTGTGGTTGGAGCCTTCGCTTGGAAAATTCGTCGTTTCAACGGTCATAAAGTCTTGCATTAATAAATCACGTTCAGGTTTTGATGCTAGACCTCCAACAGCATGTTGAATACCTATTGATTTCAACAGAAAACAAAAAGCTTGTCAATGATAAATTGAAACGATAACGGTGGGTGATGTTTGGTGTTAATTTTATCGATTTAAATAAACAATAAGAGGAAAAAACTACCGTCTATTGTGTACGTTTACATGAATTTTGTAATACTCGATTAGTGTTAACCATAAAATGTTACGTGAAATTCTCACAATTCTTCGTTATTTCGTTTCGCATTACAATTCTGAATAATTATTCCTATTCGACCAGTGGCACAGCCTGACCATTATCCATATGAAATCACAAGATACACAGTGTTTCAAAAGCAAACTTTAAAACTTCAATACATTTTGCTTAAACAACAAGATAAAATTTCCCTAGAATGCTGTAATTCTGTAAATACTAACTGTAATTTCTTTTTAAAAAATCTGTACATTATAACCTAGAATAAAAAAAATTGAGTTTGTAGTTTTCATTATACCGTGCAATCAAAAAAAAATTAATTAGAATAGGCGGTGATTAAAGTCCTTCAGATGGCGATCTTGATTTTTGACATCAAATGTCAGCGGAAACTTTGACAAGTTTGCGTTTTATTTCTTTTGAGTGAAATAATGTTCACTTTAGAGCAGAAAATTTGTATTGCTGTACAACACAAAAACGGTGAATGGTCATTTTCACTTTCAGTTTGTGTAGAAAATTTTCAGCCCAGATTCCCAGACAATGTGTTGCCAACTGTAGAATTTAATCGACGCCTACTCTATTTTTTTTTTGATCGCACGGTATTTTACTTAAAATATTCCACATAATATTATGTACAGTGCGATCAAAAAGTCTTTCTATCAAGTAGGCGTCCTAGTTGAGGACGTATGTTGCATCGCAGTTCGTATGTTATCTAGATGTCAAAAAAATATTTTATGAAAATTAAAACATTGAGCTAATTAAATTGAATTATTCTATGAAACGTCTCAAAACAAACTAAAATAAGAT